GTCCAATTTTCCCAGCACCATTTGTTGAAGAGACTGTCTTTCTTCCATTGGACATTCTTTCCTGCTTTGTTGAAGATTAGTTGACCATAGAGTTGAGGGTCTATTTCTGGGCTCTCTGTTCTGTTCCATTGATCTATGTGTCTGTTTTTGTGCCAGTACCATACTGTCTTGATGATCACAGCTTTGTAATAGAGCTTGAAGTCTGGAATTGTGATACCACCAACTTTGGCTTTCTTTTTCAACATTCCTCTGACTATTGGAGGTCTTTCTGGTTTCATATAAATTTTAGGATTATTTGTTCCATTTCTTTGAAAAAAATGGATGGGATTTTGATAGGGATTGCATTAAATGTGTAGATTGCTTTAGGTAGCATAGACACTTTCACAATATTTGTTCTTCCAGTCCATGAGCATGGAACATTTTTCCATTTCTTTGTGTCTTCCTCAGTTTCTTTCATGAGTACTTTATAGTTTTCTGAGTATAGATTTTTGCCTCTTTGGTTAGGTTTATTCCTAGATAGCTTACGGTTTTGGGTGCAATTGTAAATGGGATTGCGTCCTTAATTTCTCTTTCTTCTGTCATCTTGGTGGTGTAAAGAAATGCAACTGATTTCTGTGCCTTGATTTTATATCCTGACACTTTACTAAATTCCTGTACAAGTTCTCGCAGATTTGGAGTGAAGTCTTTTGGGTTTTCCACATAAAGTATAATATCATCTGCAAAGAGCGATAGTTTGATGCAAAGCCTAAAATATTTATTTTCTGGCCCTTTACATAAAAAGTTTGCCCAAGCATGGAATAGAGAGTACATAAATAGACCCACATATACATGGACAACTGATTTTTGATGAAAGTGTAAAGGCAGTTCACTTGAGAAAGGATAGTTTTTCTACAAATAGTTCAGAAACAATTGGCTATTCCTATGTAACAAAATGAACTTGAATACCTACCTTACACCATATATAAGAATTACCAAAATAGTTGATAGACCTAAATATCAAACCTAAAACTATAAAACTTCTGGCTAGAAAACATAGACCCTTGAGACTTGGCATTCAGCAAGGATTTCTTTGATACAGTATCAAAAGTAGTAGTAAATAAATTGGACTCGATTAAAATGAAAATTTCTCTTTAAAAAAGCACAGTTAAAGAATGGGAAGATAAGCCACAGATTGGGAGAAAATACTTAAAAAGGATTTTCTAATAAAGACCTTGCATCTAGAATTCTATTTTTTAAAACTTCTAAACATAAAAATGAGAAAACAACACACCCAGTTTAAAAATGAGCAAAATATTTGAACAGACCTACATCACCAAAGAAGAACATGAATATACACCTACCATAGATACGACCTGGCTTGTCTACTAGGTATTGTCCCAAGAGAAGTGAAAGCTTATATCCATGCAGACTTGGGACTAGTTAGATTACAGTATATTTATTCCACTAATACATTATGTACCTACTTAAAGCAAGAAAGTTTATCCAGCAAAGATGATGAGGTGCTCACTATGCTGGGTGTGACTCTTGATGCTAGGAGTATAGAAGGGAACAAAGCAGACAAAATTTCTTGCCTAATTTGCTAATATTCTATTTTAGGTACACAGATAATGTATTGACAATGTATTGGTTTCTCAGGGCTGCTGTAACAAAGTGCCACAAATAACAGGAGTTTATTTTAAGGTTCTGGAGGCCAGAAGTCCTTCTGAAATTCTGGATAGAATCTGTTCCTTGCCTCTTCATAGCTCCTAGTGGTAGCCCTTAGTCTTGACATTTCTTACCTTACCCCTACATTACTCCAGTGCATGCCTGTGTTGTCACATGGCATTGTGCCTATGTGTTTTTTTCATAACGACAATCAGTCATACTGTATTAAGGGCCCACCCTACTCGTTTATGACATCTTAACTACATTAGCCACAGCCCTATTTCCAAACTGTCACATTAGGAGATACTGTGGATTAGGACATCAGTATATCTTTTGGGAACAAAACACGATTCAACCCATAACATCCAATAAGATAAGTAAACTATGTTACTATGGTCTGCAGACCAAATCTAGGATGCATCCTATTTTATTAAATAGTTTTATTAGAATTCAACCATGCCATCTGTTCACATACTGTCTCTAACAAAGTCGACTAGTTACAACAGAGACCTTAATTACCACAAAACCTAAAATATTTATTATCTGGCCCTTTACAAGAAATGTTTGCCAAGTTATTTTAGAAATTGTAAAGTGCCATTGGGAAAAAATAGGAAGGGGAGATAAGCAGTACTGGGGGGGTCAGGGAAGACCTGTATGAGAAGGTTGAATTTGAGCAAATGCTGTAAGGAATTCATCTTTATGTATTAACTTAGAAAGACGTCCAGATGTGGTAAGTGAAAAAAGCAAGTTACAGCACATTTTTGTGATCCCATTTTTGTAAAATAAGAAAGTATATATTTATGCAGTATAATGTAATACATGAATAGAAAATTTTCAAAATTACCCACCAAATTGTTCACATTAGTTACCTTGGTGGGATTATAGGGGACTTCTACATGATGTATTTTCAACTTCCATTCATTTGAAAATTTAAAAATTACTTCCTTTGCATTTTAATATCATTGTAAACTTAATTTCATATATATTAAATTACATCAAAGGCTTAATATGTGTGAAACAGTAATGGAGGATTCAAAAGGAGTTGAACCTCCTTGCCTTAGTTTTTTTGTTTTGTTTTTTGTCTTTTTTTTTTTTTTAATATTATGGTAGTCACCATACAATACATTATTAGTTTTTGATTAGTTCATTGATTCATTGTTTGTGTATGACACCCAGTGTTCCATGCAATACGTGCCCCACTTTAATACCCATCACTGGGCTAACCCATCCCCCTACCCCCTTCCCCTCTAAAACCCTCAGCTTGTTTCCTGGAGTCCATTGTCTCTTAAGGTCTCCCCCTCTGATTCCCCCCTTCATTTTTCTCTTCCTTTTCCTAATGTCCCCCATGCTATTCCTTATGTTTCAGAAAAAAGTGAAACCCTATGATAATTGACTTCTCTGCTTGACTTATTTCACTTAGCATAATCTCCTCCAGTACCATCCATGCTGATGGAAAAGTTGGGTATTCATCCTTTCTTGAAGGCTGAGTAATATTCCATTATATATCTGGATGATATCTTTATCCATTTGTCTGTTGAAAGGCATTTCAGCTCTTCCCACGGTTTGGCTGTTGTTGACATTGCTGCTGTGAACATTGGGGTGCATGTGGCCCTTCTTCTCACTGCATCTGTATCTTTGTAGTAGTGCAGTTGTTGGGTCATATGGTTGCTCTATTTTTAACTTTTCAAGGAACCTCCACACTGTTTTCCAAAGCGGCTGTACCAATTTGCATTTCCACCAACAGTGTAAGAGGGTTCCCCTTTCTCCACAATCTCTCCAGCATTTGTTGTTTCTTGCTGCCTTCATTTTGGCCCTTCTAAGTGGTGTAAGGTGGTATCTCAGTGTGGTGGGTTTTTTTTTTTTTTTTTTTTTTTTTTTTCCAGTGTGGTTTTGATTTGAATTTCCTTGATGGCTAATGATGATGAATACTTCTTCATGTATCTGTTAGCCCTTTGTATGTCTTATTTGGAGAAGTGCCTGTTTGTGTCTTCTGTCCATTTTTTGACTTGATTATCTGCTTTGTGTATGTTGAGTTTGAGGAGTTTTTTATAAATCTTGGATATCAGCCCTTTGTGTAGAGTGTCATTTGTGAATATCTTCTCCCATTCCATAGGTTGCCTCTTTGTTTTGTTGACTGTTTCCTTTGTTCTGCAGAAGCTTTTGCTCTTGATGAAGTCCCAAAAGTTCATTTCTGCTTTTGTTTCCCTTGCCTTTGGAGACAGGTGTGTGTCTGTTTTTCATGCCTGTGCCATGTTGTCTTGATGATCACAGCTTTGTAATAGAACCTGAAGTCAGGCATTATGATGCCTCCAGCTTTGGTTTTCTTTTTCAACATTTCCTTGGCAATTCGGGATCTTTCTGGTTCCATACAAATTTTAGGATTGTTTGTTCCAGAACTTTGAAGAATGCCATTGGTATTTTGAGTGGGATGGTGTTGAAAGTATACATGGCTCTGGGCGGCATAGACATTTTAACAATGTTTATTCTTCTGATCTATAAGCATGGAATATCCTTCCATCTTTCTGTGTCGTCTTCAATTTCAGAACATAAGTGTTCTGTAGTTTCTTCCTTCACCTCTTTGGTTAGGTTCATTCCAAGGTATCTTACGGTTTTTGGTGGTATTATAAATGGAATTGCTTCCCTCATTTCTCTTTCTGCAGGTACATTGTTAGTGTATAGGAGAGCAACTGATTTCTATGCATTGATTTTGTATCCTGCCACATTACTGAATTGCTGTGTATGACTTTGAGTAATTTAGGGGTAGAGTCTTTTGGGTTTTCATGTCCTCTGTGAAGAAAGAGAGTTGGACTTCTTTGCCGATTGGGATGCCTTTTCTTTTTGTTCTCTGATAGCTGGGGCTAGGACTTCTGGTACTGTGTTGAAGTTACTACATTTCAAAGAGGAACCACCATTAATTACACTAGAATTTAACTTAGTACTGAAATTTAAGTTGAATTTTTATGCCTGTGTGCATAAAATAGTATGGCAGTTGAAAAGCAGTAGCCTTAACTGCTAGTGAAGGGCAAAAGGTATGATTCTTCTAAAGATTTGCTTTGATTCCTTTTGTCAAATTCAAAAAATGTCCCATTCATGTTTCTGTGACATTACAGGAACATAAGGGAAGTTTGGAGTAGGCATGGAGGGGCTGATAATGTTTCTAAGTATTTTCAAAACATCAGTAGGATGTTTAAATATTGTTATACAAGTGTTTATGGGATCATTTTATACTGAAGGTCAGAAGGTACCTAAATGAGATACTTTCAGGAAGGCTTATAGCAGGCAAGGATGTAAGAAGAATGCATGTAATAAATATTACCAAAGTCAGCTTTCTGAACAAGGCTCTCCTCTCTTTATAGGGAGAATGAAAAGAGCATGACTTTTGGAGGCAGAAGACTTAGTTTCAAGTCCCTGTTTCTTCACTTCCTAATTTTGTGATTTGGTAAGTAACTTAACCTGTCAATTTTTTTTTCTTTCCCTTTTTTTTTTTTAAACCTGTCAGAATTCTTATTTTGTGAAGTTTCAGTAATTAATCCTTACCATTTGAAACCTAGTGTATATGTACAACACAATGAGTAGACCCTAAGGTAAACTACAGACTCAGTGGGGGTTAAAGTGTGTCAGTGTAGGTTCATCCTTGGTAAAATGTACTATTCTGGTGAGTGATACTGCTAAATAGGAGAGATTATTTAGCCTCTGTGTGGGGGCAGAGGGTGTGTGGGAATTCTCCATACCTTCCTCTCAATTTTGTTTTAAGCCTGAAGCTCTTTATTAAAATAATGATTCCTGCCCTACCAACCTCCTTTTCTAGGATATTAGGATAATCAGGTGAAGTAATTTATATAAAAGCAGTTGTGTAATGTAAAATAGTATATAGTGTACAAGTGTTACTATGAATTAATAATTAGTAATAATGGAATAGAGCAGAGTAGGATCATTTTTAAAATAATAATGTAGGTATAACTGGCTCTCTGAAAATTTATTCACAGTAACACTATAATGTGAATACATCCTACCATATTGGAATTTTCTTCATCCTGATCCCTGCCCAGCTTATTTATTCAACAAACATTACTTTGCCTTCTTTTTGGCAATCGTAGTTCATCTGCTATTCTATAATTACAAGAGCAATGTTACTATGGTAACTAAGTTTATATTGACATTCTTCCCTCCAATGAAATCTGTACCTAAATGTATTACTCATGCCTTTTCTTTTGTTTTTTGTTTTGTTTTGTTTTTATTTATTTGACAGATGACAAGTAGGCAGAGAGGCAGACAGAGAGACAAGCATGCTCTCTGATGAGCAGAGAGCCCCATGTGAGGCTCCATCCCAGGACCCACCCTGAGATCATGACCTGAGCAGAAGGCAGAGGCTTAAGTCGCTGAGCCACCCATGCGTCCCTACTCGTGCTTTTTCATTTTGTCCTTGGGTCAAAGTAAAAAGAAAAAGACACTAAAAGATCACACAGTCCATAAGTAACAGAAAGAATTTATAAAGGCCAAAAGTATCAAATATTTATCAGTTAGAACTCCAGTACCTTTTCTCCCATTTAAGAAATCCATGGGAATGAAAATGAACAAAAATGATAAACTATAGGGATAATCTTGATCCGTTCTAATTTTTTAAAATCATTTGTAAATTTTATTCATTTAACAATAATAGTGAATTAGTTCTGATGTGCACCTTTCAGAACATTACTGTGTTGAACAACCATAGTTGAGGAATTGCCACTCTAGAAGAACCACTCAGTGTGCTTGGAATAAGCCTTAACCTATATCTGTGGTTAGGGTTGGTGGGGGGTTGGTGGGGGGGAGGTGGGGGCGGTGGGAGCAGACTCTCTGCTGAGCATGGTTTCATAGAATCTTCTAAGATAAAGATGCAAATTTCAAGGAAAATTGTATGCCATATGTGGTTATAATATATGCATGGAAAGTTCTGCCAGAGATGCAGGAGGATAATGCTAATAATGGAATTTTAAATTTAGTATGTACTGTCAACAAAATGAGAGGAACAGTATGCAGTGTACTATCAATTCTGTCCATTTTAAAACAAGATAAGCCCCAAAATGAAGTTGACTATATTGCGTTTAATATTTTAGATAGTGCTACGGTGTTTCCATCTCTTAGGTTGGGACTATGAGATTAAGTTCCTGAATAGATGTTTCTTCATCAAATCTCAATGACAATCCTTTAAAAAATTAGGACATTACTTTAAAAAAAAAAAAAAGATTTTATTATTTGAGAGAGCACACAAGCGGGGGTAGGGGCATAGGAGACAGAGAAGTAGACTCCCCACTGAGCAGGGAGCCTGACTTGGGGCTCAATCCCAAGACCTTGCATCGTGACCTGAGCCAAGTCTAAGGCAGATGCTTAACTGACAGAGCCACTGAGAGGTGTCCCAGGAAATGTTACTTTCCAACTATTAAAATGTGAAACCTACCTTTGCCTGTTACCTACCGTGTTTCATGGCCCTGCTTAGATAAATCTAATTGCTTTGTGGTAACTATAAATACCTTTATGGGACCTCTTGTGTCAGAGTTTTGTCATAAGAATATAGTGCATTCATAGAAAGATTGCCAGTTTCCAGGAACTATAGAGAACTCTCTCTACAGTGTGAACAAGGTACTTGGTTGGAATGGGTGATCGGTGTGTAATTGCATACTGCTCTCCCAACATGATAGATATTTTCTTCATTTTGTTTTGATGAGCAGTTGAATGATGTGGATTTTTCTAATATGGGACTATTGAAAGTTAGGAAGTAAGAAATAAAGCCAGTGGAGGAAAATGGTTCCTGCAATTTCATTCTTTTATCATTTACCCTGTAACAGTTTAAATATTTCATGAGCAGATTATTATAGAGTGACTTACGTGGTTAGGGAGTACATAAAGTCAAGTTAGTACTGAGATTTAATAAAAGAACACTGTATCCCAAATGCAGTACTGTGAAGCCCTGTTAAGAAGTTCGTGGTTTTGGGGTGCCTGGGTGGCTCAGTGGGTTAGGCCGCTGCCTTCGGCTCAGGTCATGATCTCAGGGTCCTGGGATCGAGCCCTGTGTCAGGCTCTCTGCTCAGCGGGGAGCCTGCTTCCTCCTCTCTCTCTGCCTGCCTCTCTGCCTGCTTGTGATCTCTCTGTCAAATAAATAAATAAAATCTTTTAAAAAAAAAAAAGTTCGTGGTTTTATTGGGGGGAGAGAGTTTACACATCAAGTATTTTTTAATGCAAATTTAGTTTTTGACTTAAGTACTGAAGTCACATGGTACAACATTGGAGAGGTGCAGAGAGTATATGGTAGAGTGTCTCCTTCCTACTGTGGAATCTCATCCAATAGCAACCAGTCTTTGAATTAGTATCCTTCTTGAGGTATCTTATGCATATATAAGGAAACGAGTGTATTTTTGTTGTTGTTGTTCCTCCCCACAAATAAATACACTGTTCTCTACCTTAACAGTATTTTATTTTATTTATTTATTTTTAGATGCTGTTACACATCTCTAGGTAGTGATCGAGAACTTACTCATTTTTTTTTGGAGCTACATGTAGGCTGTATTTGGATATACCATAGTTTAACTTACTTGTGCATTAACCTGTTTTATTAAAAACAAAGCTTTAGTGAATAACCTTATGTGTGTGTTGCTCTGCTCATTTCTGTAGGATAAAATACTGGAAGAATTATTAGATTCATACAGTGTTTAAGTTTTTTTAAATATTTATTTATTTGACAGAGTATTTAAGTTTTTTTTTCTTTAAAGATTTTATTTATTTATTTGACAGAGAGAGATCACAAGCTGATGGAGAGGCAGGCAGAGAGAGAGAGAGGGAAGCAGGCTCCCTGCTGAGCAGAGAGCCCGATGCGGGCGGTACTCGATCCCAGGACCCTGAGATCATGACCCAAGCCAAAGGCAGCGGCCTAACCCACTGAGCCACCCAGGTGCCCCACAATATTTAAGTTTCGATCGATAATGCAAAACTGGGCATATATCTTGTCTGGGTTCTTTTTTTGTTTATAATTGAGCTCTGATTTACAAAGAATTCATTTTTAATTCCTAGTTTATTGGGAAGGTTATGCCGTTTACACTGTAAGTGCAGGAAATAAGAATGCCTTTATGTCATGGTCTCAAAATATTGTGTCGATAATTTTTTATTTTTCATTATATTTTTGCCAAAACTAGAAATGATATTGGGCTCGTTTTTGTTTTGTTCACTGTTTTTACTAAGTATAACTTACATGCAATAAAGTCCACAGATCACAAGTTTATACTTCAGTAAATTTTTAATGACCATCTAGTTTATAGAACATGTCCAGCATCCCAGAAGTTCCCTTCTGCCCTCTTTCCCCACCCCCCAAAAAAGATAACAACTGTTCTCTATCACCACAGATGACATTTGCCTGATTTCGAACTTTTATATAAAGGGAATCAAGCATACTTTGTGTCTCATTCTCTTCTCTCTTAATAGGAAATTCAGTCATGTCGTTGTGAGTACCTGTAATTAATTGTGATTGAGTTACTTGAATTTTTCTGTTCTCCTGTGTTCGTGTTTGGTTGCTTCTACTTTTCAGTACTTAAACTTGTATGAACATTCTTGTACGTGTCTTTTAGAGGAGTGAAGCACTGAACTTTTTTTTTACTATGTATGTTGCCTGGGTAGATTTTGTTGGTTTGTTTTTAATTGAGGTCTAATTATAAAGAATAAAATTCACCAATTTTTAGTATACAGTTTTGTTGGGAAACCGTTCCCCATACATCTCTTAAAGGTTTGCTTACAACCTTGGAAAATTGAGATAATGTCTTTCTCCAGAGTAAGAGGCAGGCATGTTTACTGCCATTTTAAAAGATCTGGGTTTCCTAAGCTCAGTCTTCCTCTCCTATAACATGACCCACTGTGTGTATGGGTGTTACCAGTCGCTCTTGACAGTGCTCTGTTGGAATCGGGGCCCAGGCAGTTGTCACCAAGAAAATGCTGCTCCTGGTATGAGTAATAAGGTCCTTTGTCTCTGATGCAGGAGTCTCTTGTCTCCTGCCAGTATTCATGGAACTAACAGGCTAACTTGTTAGCTTGCAAGTAAGGTTAAATCTCAGTGCTTTTCACACTTCTTGACACAATTGAGTGAATTTTGACTAATAGAGTTTTAGCACTACCACGATCAGGTCATAGAACATTCCTGTCATGCCAGAAAATTCTTTAGTGTCTCTCTACATTGATTCCCCTTTTCCACTTCAGCCCCAGCCAGCTCCCTAATCTGCTTTCTGTCACCCTGGTTGTGCCATTTGTCAAATACCCTGTAAATGGAATTCAGCAGTGCATGGACTATTATCTGTGGCTTCCTTTATTTAGCATAATGCTTTTGAGATTCATTCATGCTACTGCATGTATCCCTAATACATTCCCTTTTACTGCTGAGTGGTATTCTGTTGCATGGATATACTATTTGTTTGGGTATTGGTTTATCCATTCTTAAGTTGATAGACAGTTGGGTGGTTTTTAGTTTGGGACTGTTACGAATAAAGCTGCTATATGAACATTTGAGTATAAGTCTTCATGAGGACATGTATTAGTATTTTTAGTTCTCTTGGATACATTCTTAGTGAAATATGTATTACTACTATTACGTACATTTAACTTGGTAAAGAACTGCCAAATCATTTTCTAAAGTGTCTGTATCATCTTGCATTCCTTTCTGGGGTAGTTTTAATTTGTATCTCTCATTATGAGTGGGGTTGAAAGTACCATTTTTTATGTTTTAAATAATTTGTATTTTCTTTTCTATAAATTGCCTATTCAGCTTACCTTGCTGGTTTTTCTACTAGGTGTTGGAATATTTTAGTGATGTGTAAGCATTCTTCATATAGCAGGGGATATTTTTTTTGGTCATGGTATTATGAATTACAGACTTTCTTTTCCATTTTGGCAAATACCTTTTGAGATTGCTTTTGATGGGTTTTGCCGTGTGTCCCTCTGAAGTACTGTCTCACACAGTATTTACTAATAATTTACTAATAATGTAAGTCTTCACATACTAAAGAAACAAGATTGCCCTTTTAATTAACCTTAAAGTATAAATTGTGTTCCATCACTTTCTTATGTAGCCATAACTCCGGTGGGAATAAAGATGACTTAGATTTGTTTTCTGCATGCTCATAAAATTTTACTACCTTTTAGAAGAAGACACCTATCCAGTGAAAACAAGAGCTTTAGGAATTATGTCTTTACTTACTATGTGTAATAAGAGAAAAAATAATAAAAATAATACTATGTGTGTTTTTTACAGAAATTAATGCAAGATGTTGACATTGCAAACTTGGATAGTGCACGCATTGTTTATTTTCTTCACCACTGAATCTGTAGGTAAGGTTCATGAAATACACTACCTCCCAACCTCATAAATTAGGTTTATGTATTTTTGTATAATTATATAATTAAGCTTATGCTTCATAATTATGTAATTATATTAATGTTTCTATTCTGTCTAGGGTCATTATTGGGAGAATAATGCTGCTGTAACCTAAAAATGATTTTGAAATGTAAAAATATTCCTGATAAATTATAGTTTGAGTTGAAACAGTCTCCCAGTAATCCTAAATGCTGTTTAAGTATACTAACGATAACTTTAAGGTGGGGGGGAGAATACATTGCTGGTGTTTTGGGCATTTTTTTTAATACATAGGAGAAAATCTATTAACCTTTAGCACTTCACTTTTTAATGGCCAGAGGTGTCACTGAACAGTGCTGTGTTAGTGATAGGTCTGGAATCCACAGCCTCATCCTTGAACTGGTTGTTACTAGTAGATAAGAGATAAGTACAGAAATTAAGAGTAAATGTTTAGAATCTTTAAACAGTTTGATGTAGCTGTGACATCCAAGCATGCCATCACTGGACTTAAAGATATGGTATAGAGCAAAAGTATAAGTCTGTGAAAGATTGGGGGTAAAAAACCAAACTGATCTTTAACCACAGGTAGTTTGAGAAGCACTGCTGTAAATCAACCCCTATCAAAATCTAGGAATGCAACTTCTTTTTGAACACTTTAAGTGACATAAGACTACTTTGAAAATTGTTGTTATTTAGAAAATCTTTTCCTTATTCTTGAGCCCAGATTTTCGTTGTAACTTTTTCCCATTATCCCTAGTTCTGGAGTAGTTCCACTTTCTCTTCCCACTGTTCAGCTTTTAGAAAATACTGAAGGACTGCTTTCATGTGTCTCTAAGGCCTCTCTTGCCCAAACTAAACTTACCGAGTTGTCCTAATAATTCTTCATAGGACATGGCTTCTAACCCTGTACATGTTGATTATCCTCCTGATTCTTCTCTTGGTTGCCCATAGCACATTCCAAATACAAGACCATCACACCTCTCATACTTACCAGCTATAGAACTTAGACCAGTTACTTGATCTGTGTCAGTTTCCTGATTTAAAAAATCACCATAATAATTGTTCCTGACTCTTAGGGGTATTGTGAGAATTAAATGAGTTACTATGCACAAGCCATCTGGACAGTGCCTGGCGCAGAGTAAACATTATAAAAAGGATAGTAATTACGTAATTGTTACTGAGGTTTTAATGAAAATGCACTTAAGAAAAAAAATAAGTTTAATGTACCAGAACTGGACAGGGTCTGAGTAGAGTGATTTTATTTTTACTTTGATCTGAGCATCATTCTTACTCAGTCAGCATAGTTTTTGGCCAGCTAAGATAAACTGTAGTTCCAGTTAAGTTACTTACTGGTCAGTGAAAATTCTTAAGTTTTCACATGAATTAATTTCAAGCCATTTCTCCCTTACCCTATATTTAATCTCAGCCTGAATAAGAGAGATTTTGCTCTCTAGCAAATTTCATTATATTAGTTTTGGTCTTTTGGTCTAATCTTCTAAAATAATTTTAATTCTAATATTAACATCCAGTGTTAGTGATCTTTCATAGCCTTGTCCTTTGCTAATTTGGGGTGTGTGAGTGTGTGTGTGTGTTCTGCCAGATTATTGAAAAAAATGTTCAAAATAACAGAAGTAACGTTATTGCTGCCTCACAATTTACTCTAAAACTTCATGGCTTTAAATGACAATAATTATTACTTCTCACAGTTTGTGTGTGTCGGGAACAAAGTTGGGCACAGCTGGATTATTTCATCTTTGCTCTATGATATCTGGGGTGGGGAGTCACTTGGAATATTCAAAGATTGGGGACTAGAATCATCTGAAAGCACTCTCATTTATATGTGTGGTATTGATTCTGTCTGTAGGCTAAGGGCTTTGCTAGGCTTATTGGCCAGAACACCACATGTGGTCTCCCCATGTGGCCTTGGCTTCCCTGCAACATGTGACTGAGTTCCAAGGACAGATGTCCCAAGAGAAAAAGAATGCTGATTGAAAGTTGTATTCTTCTAACGATCTAGCTAGTCACATAGCACATTCCATTGGCTGGGGCAGACATAAGCTCCCACACAGATTTGAGGGCAGGAAGGGAATATTGAACCCATTTCTTTGTGGAAGGAGTATCAGTCACATTGTAAGAAAAACATGTGGGATGGGATAAATACATAGGTGTGACCATATTTGGAAAATACAGTCTGCTGTAAGGACTGAAAACAGGTACTTCGGCATACTCCATTGAAGACCTCTGTCTCACTGACTACTTCTTTTTTGTAGAAGTTTATATATATGAGTAATCAATTAAGGATGTCTTTTTTGAACCTATGAAATTTGTGTTTGTAGATCAATAAAAGTCAGATACCAGCAATTCTGTGATGTTCAGCTGTTACCTGTTATGGTATTTTCTAATTCACATTTCTTCATCTTGTCTACATGATTCCAACTAAGTTTATCAAATGCCTTTTTAAAATTAAAACATTTCTCTTTCTACAATTTAATCTCAAATAGCCTGGTACCCCTGTAAAATTGGGATTAATTTGGCATAGGATGATTTTAATGAGTCTGTGTTTCACTTTGGAACATCTGCTCATTTCTAGTATCTCGCTCATTCTGTGTGATTAAAAATTAATACTGAGTCTGTAGTTACATCTTAGGTTATTTAGTATTCTAAAATACATTTCATATTTACTATTCTTTATTAATTTAGAGAAAGTAAGTAAAACAGGAGTGATTTTACCAAGGAATAAAGTGAAGTCTAGGGAGTTGGAAGGACTGGCCCAGTATCACAGGGTAACTTAATAGTATCCCACAAGATGAAGTTCCATATATTTGGAGGTGTAAAGTAATATGTGCCCTGGGCACATATTAGACATGTATAATAATAGCATGGTCATATAAACAGCCCACCTTAAAAGTTTCGAAACAAAGAAATCCACATTCCTACTCTGGGCATTATAGATTTTATGAGATGTTCCAGGATTCCATTTGAGAGTAAAGTTTTGACTGCAAAGAAAAAAAAATTTAAAAGTATAGTTTTTAATTCTTCCTGCTGACTTTGAAAGAATCTTCCATACCCTGTCAGTGTCACTTGATTGTCTTTGGAGAGTAATACTAATTATGATAGGCTTATCATTTACTACTGGTGGACTATTAAATACCAGGCATTATAATAGGTGCTTTATGTAAGTAATTTTAATCTCAAACTCTTCAAGATAGCTTTTATTATGGGTGCCTGGGTGGCTCAGTCTGTTAAGTGTCTTTCTTTAGCTCAGGTCATAGTCTCAGGATTCTGGGATCCAATTGCACATCAGGTTTCCTGCTCAGCAGGGAGTCTGCTCCTTTTGCCTGCCATTCCCCCTGATTGTTCTCTCTCTCTCTCTCTCTTTTTTTAAAAAGATAATAACTTCATTTTCCAAGTGAAAACACAGAACCTCAAGATAGGTTACCACCCAGAAACCCATTAGCAAAAGGATTCACTAGGGAAAGTTGCCTTGTGTTTCTGGGCAGTGAGGCTATAGTCAAGCCAAGTAGTTAGGATTTTATCTTGATGGTGTAGGCAGCCATTAAATAATTTAAAATACGGAAATAGTATGATCATTTTGAATAGTAACTCTGATAGCAGCATGTAAGATAAACTGGAAGGAGGTCACACCATGGTATAATGGCCTGAGCTTCAGCAGGCAAAAGGGACTGGTGAGAAAGAGGTTGACAGACATATTAAGAAATAGAACCAACCAGACTGAGTGCAATACTATGAAGTTGGAAGAGGTATTGAAGGCGACTATAAGGTATCTGGCCTGGATGACTGGATATAAATAGTGCTGTTAGCAGAGGTAGAGAAGTAAGAGTAAGTTTGAAAGGACTGTGATACATAGAAGTTTTAGATGTGTTCATCTTTTTTCTGTTTTTTTAAGATTTATTTGAGAGAGTAGGTGAGTAGGGGGAAGGGCAGAGGGAGACAATCTCAAGCAGACTCCCCACTGAGTATAGAGCCTGATGTGGGGCTCAAACTTGTGACCCATGAGATGACAACCTGAGTCAGAACCAAGAGTCAGACGCCCTTTAGATGTATTTATCTTAAAGTACTTAGGAAGGACTTCAGGTGGATATGTCTTGCAAGTTACTGAAAAGAGTAGGAAGTTAGAGCTGGAGATAGGGATTCAGTTGCCATCAGCATGGAGTTAGGTGATAGTTAAAGCATACACTTCTGGTATAGTTCTTTTTATGCAGGCTGATTTTGTTTTGTTTTTAATATGGGATTTTATCCCATTTATTGTTAAAACTAATTTATTTGGCCATCTTGTTCTATGTTCTTTATGTTCTTTGTTGTTCTGTTGCTATATCCTTTGTTGTTTGGAATTTTGATAAATAAACATTGTCTGCTACCTTCCCTGGCCCCATCCATACCCCCAACACCATTCAGGACTGGAGAGGAACAGAGCCTACCACTGCTACTTTGCTGGAAGGTATAATTTAGACCCTGAGTCTGAATCAAAGAATGGGATTGGTGGTAGAGTAAGTGTGCATCACGCTGCAGGCAGTCTGTGTTTCCTAAAGCAAAGTCAGAATGTTATACAAAAAAAAAAAAGGCTGAGGCTTACAGATGTCTTTTTTTCATCAGCCTTGTAATTTGTATATTTCTTTATAAATTGAGGCACTGAATTCTGGCCGTATTGTTTTTTCACTGTGTAATTCTTTTTCACTGTCTTTAAGAGATACTTTAGTGAAGATTGAGGACTGCATTGATAAATACCATTTTATACCAGAATAATTCAGTCCATTTTTCTGTTTTCCCTTGTTCCTTTTCAGGTGAACTTCTAGAGCCATGTGGTTATATCAAACCGGAATCTCCAGTTGTACAGCTTGGTTCTAATTTCACTGCAGTCTGTGTGCTAAAAGAAAAATGTATGGATTATTTCCATGTAAATGCTAGTTACATTTTCTGGAAAACAAACCATCTGACTGTTCCTAAAGAACAATATGCCACCATAAACAAAACAGCATCTAGTATCACATTTACAGATACATCTTCATTAAATACTCAGCTGACTTGCAACATTCGTACATTTGGACAAATTGATCAGAATGTTTATGGAATCAGAATAATTTCAGGCTGTAAGTTTTGTTTTGTTTTTGTCTTATTTCAAACTTCGTTATGACTGTTTAATTACATTTGTAATGTCTCTTGGTCTTTATGAAATGCAGTTATTTGTTGGGTTTATTGACTTTTGGACATGCTTTTTTTTAAAAAATAAGTTTCAAAGTGGAAGTCCATTTGCATTACTGCTGTACAAAAAGCTTGAAGAGTAACATATCCTGAAAGTCAAGTATCTCAGTTTCCTAGAAAAATGTTTTAACATGAGACCCACAAAAAACAGTTCTTGAATTGAAATTTGTCAGTGTATCCATAGTAATTTTCAGTATCCTTTAATTGGTGAGGAGATCACATACAAAGCAACTATCTGAAGGTAAGTAAATAACTGGAGAATGTCCTTTTGTGTCAGAGTAAACTTAGTCTGATCCAAGAGTAGCTTGTCAAATTTGTGGATCCCCAAGACCATAATTTTGGTATTTGCTTTTCCTCCAACAGAGTTTAAGAAAACAATAGGAGGAGAAATATAAGTAAATCATTTGTTTCCATTTATTTGCCTCTTACTAACATGCAGCAATACTTACATACACTTCATGGGGAAATCAGTTAATATTCTTAAATAGTTACAAATGAAAGTTGATTTTGTGTAGAAAATTAATTTGAAACATGCTAGTTAGTGACAGTTACAGAAAATGTGTATTAATTTAAAAAGTACGAGTTTAAATAGAAAAGATGAATTTTTTAGTCACTAGTCTTTCATTATGTCTGGGGTTTTTTTGTTCGTTTTTCATCTAATTTCGTTTGCAAATGTCTTGGATAGTATATAAATTGCATGTTATTTGTGGGTAGAAAGCTTTTGAAAATTGTACATTTTTCCCTTTTAGTGCCTCCAGAAAAACCTAAAAATTTGAGTTGCATTGTGAATGAAGGAAAGAAAATGATGTGTCAGTGGGATCCTGGAAGGGAAACATACCTGGAAACGAACTTCACTTTAAAATCCGAATGGCAAGTTGTTTTTTAAGTTTTTTGTATGTTGAACTCAATAATTTGTCGTTTGTGCTAGAGTTTTTATTTCTTAAGGTGGAAAATAGTAAATGCAAATTTTTGTCTAAGCTTTTATTTTAGAGCATCTGAAACAAAAAAGTGGAAAGAATAGTATAATAAATTCCCATGTGTTCATCATCCAGCTCATGACCAGTTTTCTGTATACCCCACCCCAAATTATCTTAAAGGAAATCTGAGACATCATATCATCTCATCCATAAATATTGTAGTTCATACCTCTGAAAGATAGGGATACTTTAAGACACGTAACTGTATACCATTATTATACCCAAATATAACTGAAGAAACTTCGATAGATTGTCCCATTTTCAGTTAGTTTCATGTTTCCTCAGATGTTTCATGAATATATGTATATACATACTTTTATAATTTTTTTTATTTGAGTATAGCTGACACATAATGTTAAAACAGTTTCAGCCATACAGTGTGGTGATTGAGCTAAGTGCTCACGACAAGCATAGCTTCTGTCTTCATATAACACTTTTAAAATGGCATTGTATTCCCTATGCTGTGATACAAATATTTGTATATATTTTTACAAGTCCTCAAATCACAATCTCCATGCATTACAAATTTGTTTTTTTTTTTTAAACCATAGATTCTGCCTGGTTTTCTTTAACTTTGCAATTCAGTCATTAAAGTAACTGTTACACATTGTTTAACATAGTCCTCTGTCCTTTTTTTTTGCCCTAGAAATTTTTATTCAGTCTAGACACTTGATCAGATTTAGGTTTTTTGTTTTTGTTTTTCCAAAAGTAATTCGTAGGGGTGGTATATACTTCTTAATTCTTTTTCTCCCCTTTTTCTTTTCTTTTCTTTTTTTTTTTTTTTAGGTGCACATCACACCATATTTTACCTTAATTGAAAGTTGAGTAATAAGCAGTTAGACAATTTATGTCTGCTGTTTTTGTCAGTCATTTTTATCTTTCTCAGTTTTATTGTGAAATCATTGATACACATTACTGAATAAGTTTATTAAGCCTTATAGCATAGTGGTTTGATTTACCTAAATTGTGAAATAATTCCCACAATAGGTTTATCTAACAACTGTCTTTTTGTATAGATACAAAGAAAAAAAAGGAAAAAAATTTTCTCCTTGGGATAACTCAAAGGATTTACTCTCTTCACATCTTTCCTATGTATCATACATAGTGTTGGTTATAGTCCTGTTGTATGTCATATCCCTAGTACTTAGTATCTTCACAGTATCTTACAGCTAGAAGTTTGTACCTTTTGACCAGCTTTGTCCAGTTCCCCCTCTCTCCACCCTCTGCCTCTGGTAACCATAAGTTCTTTTTTTGTGTGTGTTTGGTCATTTTGTTGGCTTGTTTTACAGTCCACAGATAAGTGAAATCATAAGTACTTGTCTTTCTTATTTCACTTAGCATAATCTCTTGTCAAAAATGTAGGATTTCTCCATTTTTATGGCTGTCTAATAGTCCATCATGTACATGTATCCCACAGCTTCTTTATCCATTCATCCATTGATGGACACTTAGGATGTTCCCATGTCTTGGCTGTTGTAAATAATGTTGCTATGAACAAGTGGGTGTAGGTATTTTTTGAGGTAGTGTTTCTGATTCCTGGATCAAAAATGCCTGGATCATGTGGTAGTTTTAGTTTTAGTTTTTTTAGGCTCCTAACATCTTTTTCATAATTGGCTTAAGCACTTTACAGTTTCACCAACAGTGCATAAGGGTTCCCTTTTCTCCACATGCAGACCAACATTTGTTATCTTTTAAATGATGGCCATTCTCAACAGGCATGAGGTGATATTACAGTTTTAAATAACATTCTTCACGTGACGGGTGATGCTGAGTGTCTTTTCATGTACCTGTTGCCTCTTCATATTATCTTCTTTAGAGAAATGCCTGTTCAGATCTTCTACCGATTTTTTATTTAGATTATTCTTTTGCTGTTGAGTTTTAGAGTTCTTTATATATTATAACTGTTAACCCCTTATCAGATCTATGGCTTCCAAATATTTTTTCCTATTCTGTAGGTTGTCTTTTCACTTGGTTAATGGATTCTATGTAGATTTCTATTTTTTATTATTATTTTTTAAAGATTCTACTTTCTTATTTGTCAGAGAGAGCACACGCACAAGCTGGCAGGGTGGCAGGCAGAGGCAGAGGCAGAGAAGTAGGCTCCCTGCTAAGCAAGGAGCCTGATGGAGGACTTGATCCCAGGATCCTGGGACCATGACCTGAGCCAAAGGCAGCGGCTTAACCGACTGAGCCACCCAGGCATCCCCAGATTCTTATTTTTATCTAATTTAAAAAAAAAAATTTATTTGACAGAGCAAGAGAGCACATATGGGAGCTGGGGGAGTAACAAAGGGAGAAGGAGAAAGCAGGCTCTTCGCCTACTGGGGACCCCAATAGGAGGCTCGATCCAGGTCTCTGGGATCATGACCTGAGCCAAAGGTTGATGCTTAACTGACTAAGCTACCCAGGCACCCCGCATTTTTAGTTTTGCATAGTTGTACTTGTGTGTCTACTATTTTTGCTTGTGCTTTGAGTGTCATACCCAAAAAATCAGTACAATGACCCATGTCTCAGAGCTTTATTCTCATATTTTCTTCTAGGAGTTTCAGGATTTGAAGTCATAGATTTAAGTCTTTATTCCATGTTGAGTTCATTTTTGTGAATCATACAAGATAGGGGATAATTTCATTCTTTTGTAGGTGAATATCCAGTTATCCCAGCACTGTTAGGAATTCCCCTGGGTCCCTTGTCAAATATTTGGCATAATTAATTGAATTGTGCTTGGGTTTATTTCCAGGCTTTTAGTTAGTTCTTTCCACTGGTTGGTTTATTTTTAATGCTAGTACTATATGTTTTGATGACTCTAACTTCATAGTATAGACTGAAACCAGGAAGTGTGATGTTTTCCAGCTTTATTCTTTTTTTCCTCAGGATTTTTTTTTTTTTTGGACTGTTAAGTCATCTGTGTTTCCACATAAATTTTAGAGTGTTTTTCTGTACTTTTGTAAAAAATTGTCATCATAATCTTATTGCATTGAATCTGTAGATGGCTTTTGGTGGTATTAATGTTTTAACAATATTCTTGGAATTTGTGGGCACGGAGTACCTTTCCATTTATTGTGTCTCTGATTTCTTTCATCACTGTCTTATAGTTTTCAGAATAGAGGTCTTTTACCTCCCTAGTTAAATGTATTCTATTTTATTTTTTCTGATGCTCGATAGATTTCTTGATTTCTTTTTTAGAAAATTCATTGTAAGTGTATAGAAGCACTACTGATTTTTGTATTTTAATTTTGTATTGTGCAACTTTACTAAATGCACTCATTAGATCTAACATCTTTTGGTTGAGAGCTTTTGTTTTTCTGATACTAAGATGGAGAGGTGGTTACAGGTACTGTTGCCAGCTTGATCCATTCTTACAAAGTTTTCTTTTTTTTTTTTTTTTTTTTTTTGGTAAAGACAGATTTTGTTTATTGGACTTGGCTTTGATATGACTGACATACACTGCATACATAGTACAAATTGATCTTAAACAGTTCTTGACTGCAGTTTTTATCAAAAGCTGGAAGAACTTTGCAGTGAATGCTTATACAGATCCATCTTTAGATCCTATAATTAACATTTTACTGTGTTTGCTTTATCACATATGTGGTGTTTATGCATACTTCTCTCCACCTATCCATCTTTTTTTTTTTTTAATGTATTTCAAAGTGACTTGCAGGTGTTAGTATATTTCACCCTTAAACACTCCAGCATTTACATTATTAAGTAGATGTAATTATACATTTACAGGTACATTTTTGATTTTTGGTAAAATTTGTGCATCTTTAAATATATCTTAGATACCTGAAGCATATCAATCAGTGACCTTTGACTAGTATAGTTACATAACTTAGACCTTACCAAGATAAAAAACATTACTTACACCCCAGAAAGTTCACTCTGCTCCTTCCCAGTCAGTCCTATCCACCACCCTATCTCACCCCGTCCCACAAAGCAACTACTGCAGTGATTTTCTTCACTGTAAATTTTTGTTTGTTCTGACTGTCATGTAGATATAATCATACAGCATGTACTCTTCTGTGAAAGGTTATGACTCAGCAGAATAGTTTTGGGGATTTAACCATGTTGCTTCCCATTAGTTTTTCATTTAAAGGTTGGAGCCATCAGTGATCGTTATTTGTACATGAGGTAAAAAATAGTGGTATTCTTCTTGTAAAAACCTGATACACTTAAAACTTCTTTCATCAACTATTGGTTACCCTGAGGTACAGTTCATAGAAGCAAAATGGTATTAATGTTTCCCCTTTCTAACCAGTTTTATAAAGTGTTAGTTCCCTAGCATCCTCTAAAGAGGAGGGTTTTTTTTTCCCCTTCATTACGAATTCATACTGAAACACATTTTACATGTTTCAGTCCATTACTATTACTTTTCTTGATACTTACATTGTCTCATCTTTGGTTAGGAACCTACTCAGGTTGGCTTTTCCTTTTGACTTCACTCACTAGTCTTTGATAGCTGTCTTCGACAGCTTCCTTCCTTTTTGATAGGACATGACTTTCCAGATTCATCTTAGTATATATGTCCTTCCCCAGGCCTAGAATCAACCATTTCCCAAGTAGCCATGGTTCCATTTAATAGAAAATACTGTTTAGACTACAGTCAAGCTAGGGGAGCTTACTGCTATGTGCTTGTTCTAGGGTTTTACAGCAGATACAGCTAGGAAATGCTTTTAAGGTAAAATACATCATGCACTAATACTGATAATTTCCAGTTTAAAATCTGGACTACCTGTTTTTACTTAATTTCATCCATCTAACATCTACATCTTCTGTGCTGAAAACCTTAGTCTCCAGCACCACCAATATAATAATAATTCTTTGCTTTATCTCATAGTAAGCAGCAGCTACAGAATAGCAATGCCAATATCAACATAACAATATGAATACTAAAACAAATTTTAAGATTGTTTTTCTTCCCCTAAGGATATAGTTAAATGATGTGTTTTTTTTTTAAGATTTTTTATTTATCTATTTGACTTTTTTTTTTTTTAAGATTTTTTATTTATCTATTTGACAGAGATCACAAGTAGGCAGAGAGGCAGGCAGAGAGAGAGAAGGAAGCAGGCTCCCCGCTGAGCAGAGAGCCCGATGCGGGTCTCGATCCCAGGACCCTGGGATCATGACCTGAGCCGAAGGCAGAGGCTTTAACCCACTGAGCCACCCAGGCGCCCCTTAAATGACGTTTTAAAGCTACTTAAAAGGGATGCCTGGGTGGCTCAGTCGGCTAAGCATCTGCCTTCGGCTCAGGTCATGCATGATCCCAGGGGCCTGGGATTACACTCTGAATCAGGCTCACTGCTCAGCAAGGAGCCGGCTTTTCCCTCTCCCACTCCCCTTGATTCTGCTCGCTCGCTCGCAAGTAAATAAATAAAATCTTAAAAAAAAACTACAAAAATTAAGACACTTAAAATAGTTTCTGTGTATTAAAGCACCAACTCAATACAAGAGTTCATATATTTCATTTTGCTTTTGATTTTTAGGAATTTTTTAATTGAGACATAATTGATCTACAATATCCTGTTTATTTCAGGTATACATCATAGTAATTCATAAAAGTTACCTGTTTGTGGTTTTGACTTAACCTCCTACTTTAAAAAAAAGTGTGTATATGTTTTTTAATTGATGCATAATTTAAAATTAAGTGAGTAAATAGTACCACTTGAAACTTTTTTCATGATAGAAATCAGAAAGGGTTTGACTGGAAAGAGGCTAAGGGGATTTTCTGGGGTTGACAGAAACTCTTACCCTGTCCTCCTATCACCTAGTGTATTGTGCTTAGAATAAACATAACTGCTTGAAGAAGGACATTGAGGGTACAGTAAGGATTGTTTCAGGAATGGAAAGAAATCGTAAGGTCACAGGAAATAGACGATTTTTAGAGATGGGTCATTGGGGATAGAGCATCGTATTCTAAATGTAATGTTCTTGGCGTAAAATTTTGAAAAAAAAATGTTTTAAGATATAGCTCAAACTCCATTTTAAAGGAAAGCCTGATAGTTCTTAAGAAATTTTATTTTAAGCTGTAAGTCTGGGCCTCATTAGGTAACCTTTTTCACAGTAATTTTTTAAAATCTGTTTTTAATGATCAATTCTTCCATTTTTGTATTTAGGGCAACAGAGAAGTTTGCTGATTGTAAAACAAAACGTGACACCCCCACCTCATGCACTGTTGATTATTCTCCTGTGTATTTTGTCAACACTGAAGTCTGGGTAGAAGCAGAGAATGCCCTTGGGAGAGTTACATCAGATCATATAAATTTTGATCCTGTAGATAAAGGTAGTTATAAGCCTGAATTTGAGAATTTATTGGGGTATATACAGTGGCTTATTAATTTAGTTTTTTAGGTTTTAATCAATATAGAGAAAGCACTTACTCTTTTAATGATTTTTATAAATTTGCATTAATAACATTAAAAATCTGGAAAAATATTAATAATACAGCTATACTACAGTGGTTTTGACTTTGAATGTTACCTGCTAGTATTTATGCAATTATCAAATGTTTTACAACATAGCAATTTATAGTATACATGTTTTGTTTTTATTGTCTCTGTCTTTACATATATCATAAATATTTGTCTTTTGATAACTGAACCTGAAAAGATTAATAGGCATATAATAACTTGACAAAACTACAATTTCTTTAGAAACCTTTTCTCTTCATTATAATAGTATGACATTGCATTGTTTTCCAAAATAATAGTTCATTTGGTAAGAATAAATACGAAATAAAATAAGTAGTATGTTTGAGTTTGTATAAGAAGTTATAAAAATGAACCATGATAAATATTCTGATTTATTTTATTCTTCAGTGAAGCCCAATCCGCCACATAATTTATCCGTAAGCAACTCAGAGGAACTGTCCAGTATCTTAAAATTGACATGGATCAACTCAAGTATCCAGGATTTTATAAGACTGAAATACAACATTCAGTATAGGACCAGAGATGCCTCAGTTTGGAGCCAGGTAAATTGCAAGTTACTGTTTATGCAAATAGCTTTGCAACCCTCTAACCTAAAAGTCTGAATATCCTAAGGTTGTGGTTACATGAAATATTTTGCTTGATCCCTCTTCTTGATCTGTGTTTCATGCAGGGGCAAACAGAAGACATTCAGATTGAAAATACAGTTTTGCTTAGTACAGTAGCTTTGAAGTATGGGAGTGATACCAGGTGGTAAGGAATAGTATTTTTGATGGGAGGTGAAAGGAACACAAAAAATGAGCAAATTAAGTGGGAGAGTATATAAAGAGATTATTTGGCTAAGGTAGAGCAGGGGTTGGCAAACTAAATCTGCAAGCCAATTTCAGCCAGCCATCTGTCTTTATAAATAAAGTTTTGCTGGAACACAGCCACACTTCTTTTTTTTTTTTTTTAAATATTATCTTTGGCTATTTTGTGCTGCAGCGGACAAGTTGAGCAGTTGGAACAGAGACTGTCTGGCCCACAGCCTAAAATATTCACTATCTAGTGCTTTTTAGAAAGCATGTCAACTTTTGTAGAGGAAGTAGTTATTGGGGAACTTAAAAGACTGAAAAGGAACAGAAGAGTATACCCAAAGATGATGCTGTCACCAAAAGAAGTACTTGGAACTTTTAAAAAAGACAATCACCATAGCTTGTGCTCCCCGTAATATTCTTTGTTACAACTTCATTTGTCACTAACACTGTGCTTTTTCTTTCTCTTGTTGCAATAATGAGCTCATAAGGATTTGAGCTCATGATCTTAATACTTCTGCTCTCCATTCCACTTACAGAAGGACTGGTCAAAATAAAATTAGAAAAAGCAACAAATGAAAATGGATTAATGCTTCATATTATACAGAGAGGATACATACCTGAACTTCAGAATATTTTTTGGTATCACAGAATCTTAATTCATTAATAATAACAAAAAAAAGATACCTGCTTTGTATTCACTATTGAAATATCATAGTAATGAAATACCATAGTAATAGAATTATTTATCTGTATTCTCTCTTTTCTGAAAACAAGTTTTGTTTTTCTTGATTGGGCTGGATATCTGCCTTTTTCCTATCCAGAGTTGTACTCTGCTCTTCCCTCCTGTGCTTACTCTTGTCTTGGAATGCTGACCTATATGGATTTCATCTGAGGGTTCACATTCTCTCTGGTTTCTTGGTGAATATGGTTAAAGGAAGCAGGGGATCTGGCAAGAGAGAAAAGAGATCAGCATATTTATTTTCCCTGCTTCCCCCTGGAGCTGCCCATTCTCTCAGCCTAAGGTCACTGCTCTACTAAAGTTAATCCCATCTGACCCTCTTCTCCCAGTTGCTGTTGTCAGCCCTTTTGGTCTGGGAGTAATAACAGCTCCAAGCCCCTCAGTAATGACCACTATCTAAGGTTTCCCTATACTCTGCCCATACTTCCTTTTAAAACCCTTCCTGAATTGAATTCTAATTGGAGTATACTATCTTTCTCCTGCTGAGACCCTAAGTGTTACAGGCCCCATGGAAGAAAAATAAATGAATGAAGGATTAATAATAGATGTTTCCATACTTTCAAATCTACTAACTTCACTAACTTCGACAGCTTTTTGATTTGCATTTATATCTCTCCTGAGCTTGAGTTTAATTTATTAGTCTAGTTTCATTAAATGAGTTTCCAAAATGTTAGGGAATTTAGGACAGTTACAATAAATACATGGGTTTTTTTTAATTAGTTGATCTGCTTTGATTTCAGATTCCTCCTGAAGATACAGCATCCACTCGATCTTCCTTCACTGTCCAGGACCTTAAACCTTTTACAGAATATGTATTCAGGATTCGTTGTATGAAGGAAGATGGTAAAGGCTTCTGGAGTGACTGGAGTGAAGAAGCAAGTGGTATCACATATGAAGATAGTGAGTAATTAAGATACCTGAGGAAATAAAGGTTTTGGAATTAGGGCTATGAATTGTATCTGGTTTTAGTAATGTAGACCACCTCCTTATTTTATGACCATTTTATTCAAACTTGTATTTTACACTTCTGTTCTAACATCAAGATGTAAAATGTGCATGATTGTATTTATCTATTTGATTCCTCATAAAGAAGATATCAGGGAATGACCATGAGAAAACCACTGAACTAACAGTTAAGTCCAGAACATTTTATAAAGGACGGTAGTTCAAAGATACCCCAAAAAGAGAATCATATCCTGACTCATTAAAGTCATACTAACAAAATATACCATAGTCCCTCACTGTCAGAAATACATGTGTACTATTACTTGTTCATTTCTACCAGCACTTAATAAACCCCTGGAAAAGAATCCTGGAGTTTTGGTTTATTTTCATTTTCCCTTCCCCACCCCCCACAATCATATGGGGCATAGAATATAGAATCCAAAAGTCATAAAAGGGTATATAGGATCCAAGTAAGATTTCCTGCCCACAGCAGTTAAAATCAGTAATTTCTTTTGTAGCAGTCAAGAAATAGTCCTGTAGCATACAGATTTTTCTTTTTGAACAGTTTTATTCCATAGTTTCACCCTTCAGGTGTCAATGGCAACAGCTCTGGCTTTAAAACCTCCTGTACCACCACTGTCCCTTCACTTACAGCTTCACTAGACGTTAGATAGTGAAGTGAGAGTATCAAAGGCAGAAAAGTAAACTGCCTTTTCCACTAAGATTTTCTCTTATTCTCATAAGTGACATGAAAGAAAGTAGTTCTGCTATTGCTGATTTGAGGATCTTCAACTGGATTTCTTTGTCTTGGCTAGGAATTCTTAAACTGGGATCCATGGGGCCTTGAAAGCTGGTGGGTCAGTTGCAGAGGGGAGGCGAGGGGAGGGTGGTTCCTGAACTCAAGTGTGGGCAAAATATTACGGCTAGTGCCTGTGTGTGTTTTTTGGGAGGGGAGATGGTGGAAAATCATGAACCATTAGATTAAGCAATTCTTCAATTTAATGAGTGATTCCTCTAGATTCTTTTTTAGGAAGTCCTATAATATTTTCATTATAGTTTCTTGGTCTTTATTTTGTATATTCGTGTGTATATCCGTACTGGCAACCTTGTCCCCAGCCTTGTGTCCTTTTTCTCTGTTTTGTCCTCCATAATTACCTCTTTTTAGTAAATCCCATCATTGCTTAGATTTATTCAGATCCTTTCTTATTCTATTGAACCATAGCTTATAATTGCACTTAAAATTCTGAAAAATCGGTTGATTCCATAGGAATTTTTAAAACCTAATTTATTAGCATTTAGTGGATTTTCATTTCTCACGTTGGGATTATGACGGCAACACTGCGAATTCATTTTTATTGTATCTTGTCAGCAGTCCTAACATAAGGTAATAAACTTAGCCCACATTTATTCCATTTATGTTGTTTTATATTCCTATACACACACACACACACACACACACACACACACACACACACACACAGGAGTTTTAAGTATATATGTAAACATAATTTTTCAGTTTGAGTTCCAGCAGTAAGAAGTGGTGATCCATCTTTGGTTATACCTTAGGATATGTTTGTAGTTTCACAATTTCAAGATTAGAAAAATAATCCAGTATAATCTAAATTACCAAGTGGTCTATTACTTGACTAAAGGAAGACCCAGGCATAGCATACTAGAATGGGGAAAATGATAGTTTAAACAGTGACTAAAGGGCAAGAATATTAAGAACAAAGTAAGAGAATAATTTCCAAGATGATACTTTATTGTTAAAAACTTCTATTTTAAAAAGTTCATGTCATTTTTTTAGGACCATCCAAGGCACCAAGTTTCTGGTATAAGATAGAGCCATCCCATACTCATGGCTATAGATCTGTACAACTCATATGGAAGGTAAAAAAAAAAAAAAAAATTGCATGTTTATCTTTTGTCACTTACATAAATTTTATATGGTATTATGAGTGTAGTTTTTTAACTTAAATTTTTACTCATCTCAGTATCAGGAAAACATTTGACAAATAGAAACACAAAGCTTTGTATATATTACATAAACTGCAGGTTATATCTGTTAAATACTTAAGCATTTGTGAAAAGTTCTATGAGAAGGATTTTGTCTGTCATCCAACTTTCCTGAGTGCCTCATAGAAAACAATTTTTAAAGGTTTTGAGTAATCAAAAGTATTGCCAGTAATAATTGTTGTCAACTCTGTAAGGCTGCAAGCGTATCCATACTAAAACAAAAACAACAAAAAAACCTCAGGAATAAAATATAATTTAGAGCCAGATAGCCACAGTGCAGGTACTATACAGAACTAAAAGCTAATGAAATGGTGCTACTTTTCTTCCTAAAGTTACAGGTTTACTCATTTACTATGTAGTAGTTTACTTAAGGTAGTAAATTGTAAATGAGGTTGCAGGTACCTTTTTTCGGTTAAACATTTAGAGGTTTTACATAACAGCAGAATTTGTGAACACGGAAAAATGATTAACTTTTATTAAATTTTTAAAATATTTTATTACAGACATTGCCTCCTTTTGAAGCCAATGGAAAAATTTTGGATTATGAAGTGACTCTCACAAGATGGAAATCACGTTTACAGAATTACACAGTTAATGAAACCAAATGGACAGTAAACATCACAAATGATCGTTACATAGCAACTCTCACAGCGAGGAATCTGGTTGGCAAATCAGATGCAGCTGTTTTAACTATCCCTGCTTATGACTTTAAAGGTTTGTGTCTGTGAGATGGCATCGACTTATGGATGGGAAAAGGTGGTTCTTAATGTAGAAGATACTCTGTGGCATAGTACATAGTTAACTTACTCTAAGTGAACAGCCAAGTAATTTGTTTTATTCTTAGGTGGCTCACTTAAACTTTGAAGTGAACTACTTAATTCATTTCAGTCTTTTCTGATTACTTGTTTTTTACATACTATTTTAAGACTCTGGGAACCATATATGAATATGACTTAAATATATTGTTCATAGCTTTCAAAGAAGGAAAAAGCCATTTACATATAGAAAACACTTGAAGAATTTTGAGAAAGGAAGCATTTTAGTTTCAAAATAAATTGTCTATATGTAAATTATAATGTGCCTTTTATTCATGGAAATACATATGCTACAAAAACTGATAGAAAGGCTATGTAAAATATCAAAATTACAGATTTTTAATGCTCACTTATCATATCGGTATTCAACCTTTGTTTTAAAGCTACTTGCCCTGTAAGGAATCTTAAAGCATTTCCCAAAGATAATATGCTATGGGTGGAATGGACTGCTCCAAATGAATCTGTAAACAAATACATCCTTGAGTGGTGTGTATTATCAGATAAATCGCCCTGTATCCCAGACTGGCAACAGGAGGATGGATTAGTACACCGCACCTATTTAAGAGGTATACCTGGTTAGAAAAAATTTAAGTTGATATCCTTATGTCTTACTCTTCAGACAGATTTTTCTTCTACATATTATTTGTGCATTACAGATGCTGTGGTCCCCTGAAAAGTTAAATCTAGTTTGCCATATGTGTGACTCTCACCAAGTCACATCTAACCTCGTTCAGTTGCAGGGTCTTTTTATGGACAAAGTGGGGTTAATAGTATTTCTCTTTATAGTTAAGTGTTGGGATCATCAAAGGAACACTTAAACTGTAAAGAGAAATATTATATGACCTCTGCTTGTAATTATTTGCATTCTTCTGTACCTGATTTAACTACCTCATCCTGCAATGAGAAAATATTTCCGTAGCATCTGAATGACTTAGACTCTTAAAGCTGTTGAATAGGGAAAGTGGAATTAGAACTCAGATTACCTTATGTCTTTTAACTGGAAGTTGTAATGGATGGAAAGTAATGATGTTGTAGAGCTCCAGAATGGTGGATTACCCTGCATTTTAAGGTACAACTTACTGTGTGGCTTTGAAGTGATAAAACAGCTTTAAAGAGAAAACATTCAGCTTGTATGTGCCCCCCACCCAAGTACGGAAGGATAACCATTAGAATTCAGCTATGAATAATATGATTAATTAGAGAAAAGCTGTAAACAAGGACATAACTGCCATAAGGTTTGTGAGTTTGATTTATAAAACAGGCTATTTGGCCCTCCTTACCCTCTTATTTAGTAAACAATTTTAATAAATTTGGTTTCTTCTCAGCCTTATTAAAAGCAAGGTAGAGCTAGAGGGAAGACCTACATTGGTAATAACTGGACAATAGAAATGTTTTTAAGATCGCATAGCATAATCTCCAGAGACTGCAGGTTGCATAGGGAGCCCTAATAGTTCATAGCTCTGATAACATCACTGTATTACAGCAGAATATAACACTTACTCATCATCTTGATAATACTGAGTCATCCAGAAAAAGTAAAGTTACTCTGTTTAAGAAAGCAACGGAGCATATAATAACTTTATAACTTAATAAGTAATATTTAAGGAAATAAAAGTTCTTACTGAATGTGTAAACTTCAGTAAAATAAATACTTTATTTTCTGATGTGGACAGGTAAAATTCTGTAAAAAAAAAAAAACTTAAAAAATTTTTACTATTGTGTATTGGGAATAGATTACTTTGTTAATTTGAAGAGATCATAAAGAATTTATAAATAATAAATAACTTTAATTTTTTTTAACTTTTTGGGGGAAATAGTACTAATTCTTTTTTTCCCAGTGACCTGACAAACCAGGGCCATTTCCCTAGCTCTTAACAGTGGGTCTTCAGGTAGTTCTCCAAGAATTAGTTAAAATACACAAACACTGTCAAACTATAAGACCAAGGATAATTTGAAATCAATGTTTTATTGTAAGTTCTGGGTAATAATACAATAATTACTTTAACTGACAGTATATTCATGATATTGGCAATAAAAGTAAGCTTTTATGTAACTTTTACTCTGTTAAGCTTGAATCCAGTACACAAAAAGCAATGCTTACTTTAAAAGCTGCAGTTCTAAAAGTTTAATAACCATGAAATTATAATATAAAAATAAATAATGGAGTTACACTTTTATTATGGGGAAAAAATGCTTCCTCTCCTCTTCTTTCTTTAGGGAACCTAGCAGAGAGCAAATGTTACTTGATAACAGTTATTCCAGTATTTGCTGATGGACCAGGAAGCCCCGAGTCTATAAAAGCATACCTTAAACAAGCTCGTAAGTCCAAACTCATTTTCTTTGAAATGTGTTGTTTGCTCTTAACAAAGACATTCTGTCTTTTTAAAATAAGGGTATGTGTTACAGTGTTCAAATAAAATAACTAAATTCTAGTGAATTCTAGTAATATACTGAATTGTAATGATTTTCAGTTATCAAATACTTTTTCTTCTATTCTAGCACCTTCCAAAGGACCTACTGTTCGGACAAAAAAAGTGGGGAAAAATGAAGCTGTCTTAGAGTGGGACCAACTTCCTGTTGATGTTCAGAATGGGTTTATCCGAAATTATACTATATTTTATAGAACCATCATTGGAAATGAAACCGGTAATAAAACTATCAGTATTTAACTTTTTTCTTAAGCTTTTAAATATTAAGTCTCTCTTTCTTAATTATACATCTTAGAGTATATTATCATCAGAAAAGAGGCACCTGAGAATTTGTCTAATGGTTGCTTTTGTGGTCCTAGTAAAGAAATACTGTGTTGTGCTTACTGGAGAAGAGTGTTTCAGAGACATGAAAGTTATTTTCTGAAAAATATTTTTTGCATTCTTAATACTTTTTCAAAAGCTAAATCAGAAACATTGAGCAGTTGAATAAACCACACTTACTGATTTCTTCTAGCTGTGAATGTGGATTCTTCTCACACAGAATATACATTGTCCTCTTTGACCAGTGACACTTTGTACATGGTACGAATGGCAGCATACACAGATGAAGGTGGAAAGGATGGCCCAGAATTCACTTTTACTACACCAAAGTTTGGTAAGTAATGTTGGCTCTTTTCTTCTTTTTCTCTTTAAAGTTTGATCGGACTAAAAGCAGACTTAGATTCATAGAAAAGCATTTTTCATAAATTACAGTTTCTGTCATCTGATTTTGGTGGTTTCTTTAAACTATCAGAACTCACCTCTGTTACTTCATTAACGGCTTCTCGCTGATTTCATCTATATACTCTCTAAATGCTAAAAGAATTTTTGTATCTTTCTGAGTGGGTTCATACTTTCACTGGCAAAAATTGAGTGTGGTCTTTCTTCCTTCTCTTAATCCTTTTTATAGGCAGATTGCTGGAAAGACGAGTCCACCCTTCCAGACTCTACTTCCGTTCCTCCAGCTCATCTTTGACTTCTTGAAACCAGGCCCCCAGCCCCCACTCCACTGAAATCTCCCTCACGTCCCTCAAGGAAGTCTTCTTAGTTACTATCTCCCTGGCATGCGTTTTAGTCTTTTTTCTGTACTTCTCAGCATTTGAGTCTGTTGGCTTCTCCATCCTTGAAACTGCCTCTTGGTCCTTCTATGGAATAGCGCCCTCCTGAGTCTTTTCCCGCTCTGGTACTTCTTCTTGGCCTCTTTTTCACTCTTCTTTTTAAAAACGATTCGTATTTTCCAGAGCTCTATTCTCAGCCCTATTTTATTATCTGCCTATTCACACTCCCTGTGACTTCAGCCATCCTCTCTCTCCTTCACAAATATTTCTCTTTCCCTGACAAAACCATCCAGGTCTTTGCCAAAGCCAGAAATTTAGATAAGGATGTAGTAAATTTTTTCCTATCTTTTTTTGCTTACATAAGCCAAATATAAAGTCCTGTTGATCATGCCTTCTAAATTACTGCTTTTGCATGCCCTTTGATAATCTCTTTCCTTGACTCTGAGCTTCTCAGGATTTTCTCCATCTTTTTCTGTCTTCTCCTTATGTGAGCTTTTCCTGTGTGAGCTTCCTACTTTTGGCTGTTCCTTTAGCCTCCCTAATGCAGACTGAAGCTGCATTCATTCTTTTTCCTACTACATTTTGAATCAGTATAGAAATTACTTATTTTATTATAATTGTATTTGTAATGTCCACCCCCAAGTACCACCACAGTGATTGATAAATAGAAACTTCATATTCCTGATTGATTGCTGAATGAGAAAATGAATAACTACATAAAATAGATAATAAAAGATCTGAGCTTTGCTGTGATATCCAGTAATGAACATAGTTTCTGGGATAAGATTTGTGGCAACATGTTAATAAAATATATATAACAAGTAATAATTGAAATTGATCTTTAAAAAAAAAAAAAAAACCTTTTAAAATACTATCCTGGTTGTGAAAGTAACATTCTGTAGAGCAGAAGAAAAATCACTCCTAATCTCTCATCTAGAATAATCTTTTAACATATTTGTGTATCCTTCTAGTATTATTTGTGCATACATTTTTTCCCCAAAATTTAGAGCATAGGATTTACTTTATCATCTGCTTTTTTCACTGATCTATTTATTCTGTGGAACTATTGTGGGTTCTTAGTATAACATGTGCCTTGCTCCCAAAGGACCTTACAGTGTATTTGAAGAAATGTAGCATAAGCAAAGTAATTGAATGGAAAGGCATTTGGGCTATGTAGGCAGTAGAGGAGGAAGTTAAAGGTAATTAGTTGGGGCGACTTTTATCATCAAAGATTTTATAGGGGCACCTGGGTGGCTCAGTGGGTTAAAGCCTCTGCCTCCGGCTCAGGTCATGATCCCAGGGTCCTGGGATCAAGTCCCTTATCAGGCTCTCTGCTCAGCAGGGAGCCTGTTTCCTCCACTCTTCTCTCTCTGCCTGCCTCTCTGCCTACTTGTGATCTCTGTCACATAAATAAATAAAATAAAATAAAATAAAAGATTTTATAAAGGAGACAGTACTTGAGCCTCAAGGTTAGGATGTGAACAAATAGGAACAAGAGTGCATCTTAGGACAGAATGAGCAAAGGCCCAAGACATAAAAACATAAGTTTAGCAACAGTACAGAAGAGGTTCTGCCTGAATTTGATTTGTTATAGATAAGAATATATGAAACCTGAGCATACAAGTAACTAGTATTTGCCAGTCTACAGTTTTTTCCTGAGCATTGATCTGACTTACTGATTTATGTTAGGCTTTGTAGAAAATAAAGTTACTTACAAAGGGATATGTGTGGTGCAAAGATTAGACTAAGTCAATAGTATGTGACTGCAGTACTATTTTTATAAAGTCTTCCCATGAAAGACTAATTAGGTGGAGACTGGAGGAGTTAACCAGAAACAACCGTAAGGTAAATCATTAAAAAGTAACTCCAATATAAACTATCCAATTAGTGATTCATTGGATTAAGTAAACCCTCTTTTAAATGCAGATTAGGGATCATCTGCTATTTAGAAATTTTAGGCTTACTGATTTTTAGGTGATAACTATTCCTACTACTGCCACTCCTTAAGATTAAGGAGTACTTAAGATTCTTAAAAATTCTGGGCACCGGGGTGATTCGGTTAAGTGTCTGCCCTTGGCTCTGATCATGATCCCAGAGCCCTGTCAAGTTGGCCTGCTCTAGCTCAGGAGGGAATCTGCTTCTCTCTCCCTCTGCCTTTCCCCACTGCTCGTGCTGTCTGAAATAAACAAGATCTTTAAAAAACAAACACACAAACTTATAATTCCTTAGCCATTTATCAGATATGCCTTGGTTTTTTGTTTTGTTTTTTATTTATTTATTTATTTGAGAGAGCACACAACCAGGGAGGAGGGCAGGGGCGCAGAGAGAGGGAGAGAATGTCTCCAGCAGACTCCTTGCTGAGTGCAGATCCTGACTTAGGGCTCAATCCCAGTGCCCTGAGATCATGACCTGAGCCAAAATCTAGAGTTGGACACTTAACCAACCAAACCATCCAGGTGCCCTGATGCCATCTTTTTGAAAATAATAAATAGCTACTAAAAGTTTTGCCTGAACCTTTTATTTTTATTCCTTATAGAGGAGCACATCTGTAGTTCAGTTATTAAGATCGTTTTACAACTTCTCTACTTCTCCCCAGTACTCACAGATCTCAAAGATAAGCTTTTGTTAAGATTCTGCTGAGGGCAGATCATAAACGTAATAAATGGTTAGGTTTGGGAGCTCAAATTACTGGGTAGATTATCTGTCCAGTAAAATAAACTTTTTTATTCCCCTAACCAACATACAGTTTATGCTTACCCTGTGGCCAGGTTACTGTGTAAGGTATAAAGGGCTAGAAAAGCGGGGGAGAAACCAGTTTTTAAGTTAAAAACGCTGTAAAAACCGGATGGTATTTCATCTGTTCAACAATCCTCTGGCTGGGAGGTTGTGTTATTTGTGTCAACATAGGCATTGACCATTATTTTCTACCTTACCCCTTTGTTTTTAGCTCAAGGAGAAATTGAAGCCATAGTTGTGCCTGTTTGCTTAGCGTTCCTATTGACAACCCTTTTGGGAGTACTGTTCTGCTTTAATAAGCGAGACCTGTAAGTACCCCTGTTTTTATTTTTACAGTTTTTCCGCTGGATTTATGCTCTGTTCTCTCCTCAACCTCTGGCCCCAAGTAATTACTGATTTGCTTTCTGTGACTGTAGTTCTGCCTTTTCTAGGATTCCATATAAATAGAATCAAATAATACGTAGTCTTTTTATATTACGTCTTGCATTTCACCTGTTCTTGAGACTTAGTGTTGGATATACTCCTTTTTCCTATTTATTGAATAGTATTCTATAGTATACATTTATCAATTTGTTCAAACATCTGTTATAGAAATGCAGGCTGTTTCTTTGAATTGGGGCTATTGCGAATAATGCCGCCATGAATATTCACCTGCAGATCTTTGCGTGGGCATGTTAACCATTTATCTTGTGTAAATACCTAGTAGTGGGATTGCTGGGTCAGGTGGTGAGTACATATTTAAGTTCATGAGAAACTGTCAAACTATTTTTCAAAGTGGATATACCATCTTGTATTCGCACCAGCTCTGTGAGCCTTCCAGTTGTTCCCTATTATCAATACTTGGTGCTGTCACAGTTTTTAATTTTAGCTATTTCATTGTGATCTTAATTTCCATTTCCCTAGTAAGTAGTAATGGGTCTTTTCATGTGCCATTGCTATATATTCTTTGGTGAGGTAAACCTTCTGAAATCTTCTGCCAGTTTTTACATTGGGTTGTTTGCCTGAACTGTAAGGTTCTTTACATACTCTGATTACAGAATTATTCTCAAATGTGTTTTGGAAAGTTTGGTCTTGTGGCTTTGCCTTCTCATTTTCTTCACTGTGACTTTAGAACTAAAGTTTCTAATTTTGATGAAGTTTATGTCCTACATAGGAAATCTTTGCCTAAGTCAGGTGTCATGAATATGTTCTCCTTTGTTTAGTAGCCAAAGGTCTATGATCTATTTTTGTGCATGGTACAGGGTCAGGGTCAGGGTTCATTTTTTCCCCCCATAGATTCCAGCCTTACTTACTGAAATTTACTTACTTTTTGCCCCATTGTATTGCCTGGATATCTTTGCCAAAATCAGTTACCCATGTACGTCTAGATTTATTTATGGACTCCGTTTTATTCCACTGATCTATATATGTCAATTATCCTAGTACCATACTATCTTGTTTCTGCTCTGTGGTAATTTTGAGAGCAGTTAGTAGAATTCTTCTAATACTTGATTTTTCAGAATTATTTTGGCTAGAGTATTTGATAAACTGATACTGATATGAAAAGGAAATTTCCTTGGTGGGGGGGGAACCCAGTACATGTTGAGTGAGATTTTACTGAATCTGTAAGTCAATGTAGGGAAAAACTACAATCTGAACAGGAGTTTACATCTGCATAAATCACATGTCTTTCAGGAGTATATTAATCTCTCTTTAGGTTTTAATTTTCTTTTGCAGTGTGTTATTTCCAGTGGGATAGGGCTTACACATCCTACATTAAATTCATTACTAAATATCTTTTATACAGTTGTAAATGGCATTTTCAGAAATTTTTATCTTCTAGTTGTTCATTGCTAGAAATAGAAATGCAATTTTTTTTAAAGAACTTACTGTCCTTATATACTAAGACCTGGATACATTCATCTATTCTAGTACCTTTTTGGATTTCTTAGCATTTTTGCTGCTCACCAGTGAAGATAGTTACTCTGATGTTTTGTCTTCAGTTATTTTTCTTGTTATACTGGTTAAGTAAAACTTTGCATTATCACTGGTTTTAAGGGAGAAAGCATTCAGTCTTTTAGGATCACATGTGATGGTTTTGTTAGATGCTTTTTTTGTCATCTGCTGATCATACGATTTTTGTTTAGGTTCTTAACTTTATTGCTTTTTATATTATAGTTGTTTCCACAGGAGAGTCTGTCAGGACCTTATTACTCATCTTTATTTTTATATTTGAACTTATTCTCAAGGTGACTCACTTCCTGTATACTTAAATACACTTAGGGATCTCTCACTTAGGGTTAGGAACTGTATTAAGGTAAATAAATACTCTGGTGAAAAATCACGTTTTTTCTGGTAGCTATGTAAAAATTTATTATGTGGTTTCAGTTGGAAATTGAACATTCGCTTTTGTTGCTGGGAAAGGGGTATACTGTAAGGCTTTGTGACTTGCCTCAACTTTTGTTTTTTTAAGTTGAATACTTAACAGTTTTTTATTACAGCTAGATTAAGCTCACAAACAGCATATTTCTTTTCTCTCCAGAATTAAAAGGCATATCTGGCCTAATGTTCCAGATCCTTCAAAGAGTCATATTGCCCAGTGGTCACCTCATACACCTCCTAGGGTAAGATACAGTGTCTCTGACTTGTTTATACATGGGCATGTTAGGGTACGTTTCTAGAGTTAAACCAACTGATGAGCCCAAATTGAGAAATAAATGGTAATAAAGTATTACACAACATATTCTGATACTCCCTACTTCTGTTAATCTGAAAATAGCAAAGTTGATGTGTAAATACTGCTCTGTAGTAACTGTTGTAAGGCAGGCATTTTATATAAGCTATTAAAATCAAATTTAACAGTACACCAGTTTAATACTGCTGAAAAGATTTCTGGAAACCTAAATTCTTCTAACTACCTTAAAGTTGAAATGACTTAACTTTACTACCTTCTAATAGAAATCGTTGAATTTTAGGTTAAGATCTAGAATACATTTTACAGGATTTAAGTCATTTGAGTATTTCTATCCTGGTACTCCTCGGCTCCATAGTCTAGTAATGAAGTAGACTTCGTATACCAACCTGTAGCTTATCAAAATTGAACAACAGTATTGATTAGGAATTCTGGTGAAATACATTGATTGATGCTTCTCAGAATTATTCCCACAGTACCTGCAGTTCAGCTAGTTGACAGGACCTAGTGACCCACATTATGTCTATACCATGGGAATTAACCGAGAAGTTTCAGAGATGCATTTCTCTGTGGTTTTAACTAGAATTTACCATATGTTTCAGAGTTTGAGTAAATGTGTATCAGAGTTACTAATACAGTTTCTTTCTTTCTTAGCATAATTTTAATTCAAAAGATCATATGTATTCAGATGGCAATTTCACTGATGTAAGTGTTGTGGAAATAGAAGCAGCAAATGACAAAAAGCCTTTTCCAGAAGATCTGAAATCAATGGACCTGTTCAAGAAGGAAAAAATTAGTACTGAAGGACACAGCAGTGGTATTGGAGGGTCTTCATGCATGTCCTCCTCTAGGCCAAGCATTTCTAGCAGCGATGAAAATGAGTCTACACAAAACACTTCGGGCACCGTCCAGTATTCCACAGTGGTGCACAGTGGCTACAGACACCAGGTTCCATCGGTCCAAGTCTTCTCAAGATCTGAGTCCACCCAGCCCTTGTTAGATTCTGAGGAGCGGCCTGAAGATCTACAACTGGTAGATAACACAGAGGGCAGTGCTGGCAGTTTTCCCAGGCAACAGTATTTCAAACAAAACTGCAGTCCGCGTGACACCAGCCCAGATATTTCACATTTTGAAAGGTCAAAGCAAGTTTCATCAGTCAATGAAGAAGATTTTGTGAGACTCAAACAGCAGATATCAGATATTTCACAGCCCTTTGAAGCTGGGCAAATGAAAATGTTTCACGAAATTTCTGTAGCAGATGCTTTTGGCCCACATACTGATGGACTGGTAGAGCGATTAGAAACCGTGGGGATGGAGGCTGCAATTGATGAAGGAATGCCTAAAAGTTACCTACCACAGACTGTCCGACGAGGTGGCTACATGCCTCAGTAAAGACTAGTCCTGACAACTTCAGCAGTACCTGTAAACTAAAGCTGATTTTATCTGTTACTTCAGGTAAAAATAATCTTCACTCACTGAAGATGATCATTTGCCCTTGAGGACAACAACAAACTGTCCTCCCCCCTGGGCAGTTTCCCTTCCAGAATATCTGGGATTCTTCTTCAAGCACTACATAAACTGACTTCATCCTCTGAATAGCTGAATGATACTGTGCTGTATCAGGATGTTTGCACTGAAGAAAAACAAAGCTTGTCTCAACTTTGCAAATTAAAACTTTGTTTTGGTAGCTAGGAAACAGAGGGTATTTAAATAATAAGCAGTGATACGGCTATACTGATTTTAGTGAGAATAGGCACCAAATAAAGTGGCTGAGATAGAGTTAAAGAAAATCAGAAGAGTGAGATCTAGACTATTCAAATGACAGCATAGAGCTGCAGGTGGCATAATTATATGAACCCAGCTTTTTTTGTCTGACCAAAACCAGCCAAAACAGTGGGCCTAATTAGAATATTGCTAACAGGAAATAGTAGACATTCTCCTCCATTGGTAATGATGCTGCCTATTATGAGACAAATGGAGTGCAAGTCTGAATATTTTTGAATATTAGTATCATCATTAAGCAGTCTAACAGATTTTCAAGATCTGCTTTTTATCATCATTCATAAATTCAGCAAAGTGCCCAGGTAAGAGCTACGAATGAATGCCAAACTATGTTAGCCATTTTAAAAATTCTTTGCCATTTATAAGACCTTGTTTTTTTAAAGACCTTCATTATTTAACATTCATATATATATATATATATATATATATATACACACACACACACACACACAAACATTATCCTTTTTGTTAATACTAGAGAACTTGGTTGATGAAGCGCTTTATACAATGTTAAATTAAAACATATTTTAGGGTGAGGACACATGCTTTGTTTTTATTTTTAAGTAGGCCAAGATTCGAAGGTTTTTTTTTCTTCAAACTAAGAGGAGATGGGTACTACTTACCAAATAAAGCATCATCCAAAAACGTACATGTTGACGTTAGTAAATGTCACAGAGCATACCCTGTTGTAAAGGCACTTAATGAAGGGTTAGTATTTTAGTATCTGCCAGTTCTGAGGTAGATGGGACTGACTTCCTTCTACATTGTGATTTAGATTTTAAACCTACTCTCCTGCAAGTTCTGTTCTTCCCAGAGAAAGGTAAACTAGGGCTCCAGATTTTAGCACTTAACCCCACTTTGACATTTTTGCCATACCCTGCCCACCACATTTGACAAGGAGGCAGGGCTAAAGACAGGAACAAGAAGTTAAATGAAGAAATTTTCATTAAATCATTAGTGGTGTGAAGTACATTTTCAGAAGGTATGTTTTGGTTTTCTGTATTTATGTCACCAAAACTGGGCTAACTTCAAAAGAAGGAAAGTTGCTATACATTGACAACTGAAATCTAATTCTACTCATTATGCTCTCAGAATATTGTTCATAGTAGAACCTACTGTTCATTAGATGTTATCTTTGTATTCTTGCCAGCTGTGTTTCAGAGCACTTACTTGCACACACACGGTCTTTTTGAGACGGGGGAGAAAAGACCTGAGATTGGCAGAATGACAGGATGAGAAGTACATGAGGAAGACCTGGCACAGAGAGGCCGAATAGGGACAGAAGGACCCCAAAGTCTCACTACAGGATAACGGCACCACCACCATTTAGATCTGGCCAAAGCCTGATCCCATCTAGGACTACATTTATCTTGCTAAGAATCTGTCAAATTTGTATCAGTTTTCTTTTTCATTCCCTCCAAGTAAATAGTCCTGTTATTTGTAAAATGGTCACCTCTGCCAGTTTTAAAAAGAATTCTGGTGTCATGTTTGTATGTGGGGGCACAGGGGCAATTATAAAACCTAAGCTTATAATCTAAGGGAGTAAGAATGAAGTCCTTACAGAAAGAACACTGTATAAGCAAATCTGTTGAAACTTGCATAGAACGTGGTGCCCTGAGTGCCCCCCACCCCTGCCAGGTGCAAGAGCATTTTAGACATTTAGTTGAACAAATAAACCTTGAGGAAATAGCCCTAGATTTGATTACGAATATGTGATGTACATCTTTGCCCAACAAGAGAAATGCATTCATGAAACTTGTTTAAAGTACAAAATTACTTTCCTAAGCCAGGTCTTAGGATAATCGTGGGTTTTTTTCCTTTAGATAACTTTGTTTTGTTTGGAGACATGTAAGTTGTATTTTACTTAGGCAGAGAGAAACAAATCTAGTTCATATGAAAACTAGTCTATATATAAGTTAGTGGATGTGATTCCTACTAAATCTTGAGTATCCAGAAATTTCCATTAAAGTAATGCTGGTAAAGCCTCTCTGTGGACAAAACTAACGCACTGCTTCTGATGCTCGTGGCCTCACAAAGGAGTAAAAAGCAAGTGTGCCACAGGTGTTGCCATTGCAGTTTGACTGTTAACTGGTGTGTTTGGTCCCATACCCTCATCCCTTACCAAAGGCACAATGGTGAGCAACTGTGGGAAAACTCCCAAACTTAAAATGCATTAAAATCCTAACAAATAAACTTGGATCAGTCAGCACTCAGGAACATACCCAATATGTAAGTAGAAGCAAGGAAAAAAGCAAAACCATTCACACATTCTGTGTACACATCGGTTCTCTACCTAGCTGTTGAATTAATTTCAACCTTACACATTAAGTTGCCTAATCCTTCCAGCTCACTGTGAAGTTCAAGGTTCATGAAGTAGAAATGTAAGACATTTGTTTATGAAAGCTCATCCTTTAAGAACATTTAAATAGTTTCATAAGTAGAAATCAAAATTTTTAAAATGTATTATATCCACAGGGCTAAGTAGTTAAAATCAGGAGAAATAATGTAGAAGTAGGATAATTATATCATACAATTCTCTAAAATTTGTTAACTGGCATGTATCAACCAAGTATAAATCAAGTAGGAGAGCTCTTCCTCCATTCTCTTACATTCTATGTCATTGTCCTATGTTTGGTTTTAAGAAGAAATTTCCAAACTATATGTTACTCTGTTGAAATGGGTAATACGTCAATGTAATAAGCTATATAAAATTTTTTAAATTGTTAAAATTGCTGGGATAGATTTCTGTTGCAGGTCATGCTCAGTTCTGTTGCCTTAAGATTGCTTTTAAAAATTCACTGTGATTTGCTATAGAGAATATGATGCCATCAAATGGCAAGATGTTTAATGTGAAGTTGGTCATTGTTGGGGTGCCTTGCTGGCACAGTTGGAAGAGCATGCGACTCTCGATCTCAGAGTCACGGGGTCAAGCCCCATGTTGTGGGGAGATCATACTAAAAAAAAATTTTTTAATAGGTCACTCACGGATTTCAAAGATGATGTAAACTAGCAACTTACAGCCTAATTCTTTCTAATGGTCTTCTGCCAGCAGAAAAAATACTCCTTTTCAGAATACTTACAAACAGAATTCAGATATAAGTCAATAACAAGCTTTCTAGAGCCAAATGTACTGTCTCTCGATTAATCTTTTTGTGTGTGCTACTAGCATGCATTAGTGTGATATTCTAGTATACATTGCATTAAAAAGAAAAAGGGAACTTGGTGTGAGCTCTGCTTTTTTTTTTTTTTTCCTAAATTTTTAGGAGCTTTTTGTAATCAGCAGCTCCTTCAGGTGGATTAGTTTAACTTCATTACCCAGGCTTTACCATTGATCATGATGAAAATGCATTGAAGATCCCTTACAGACAAGCTTTGTCTGAATGGTAACTACATGTTTCAAATACTATAACATGAATGCCAAAACGTGATGTCAAATGGACATTTTAAAGGCAGATATCTGAATATTCTGTAGTCTTAATATATGTTTATTGAATATATTCTGAAAGTGTGCAATTTGCTAGTACTACAATACAGTGATTTAGCATTAGGTGTGTATCCTCTGTGTATCTTTTTAAGTGCAATCCTTCAAAGTTCACTTGTTTTACCCCCACCTCGTCTACTTCACGTAGAAGGCTTGTGTAGAGAGGGTATTGTATTTTTACCTCTGTAGTGAATTGCATGTGCTAGTTGTTACCATGGCTATTGGTCTTATGTTGACATAACTCTAAATGCTACTGTAAACGTTCTTATGTATCAGCTCTAATCTTTCAAGTAAATTTAAGAAATAAATTCTTGTTTAAATTTTTTTCCATGTGTGATCACTAGTGTGATATCATTATATGTAATGTTTGAGGTAACAGTATTTGTCACTAGTGCTGTTGGGTCTTAGTGTAAACTAGATGCTTTCAGAGTTCAGTGGCTTTTTAAATGTCCATTTAGCATAATAGAATTGGTTTCAGAAGAAAAGCAATATATTATCTTGGTCTTAATAACATACAATGGACTGAGATTATAAATCAGAAAACTGATTAATGAATTTTCCAAGATGAGTTCTGGAATCCCAGCACCATACCACCCACCAGTGGATTATCCCCCCCCCCCGCCCCCTTGGGGCTGCCAAGGCACCAGCCAAGTACAGAGGTACTGCGCCATCTAGTGGCTGGTCTGTAGCCACAATGCTCGAGTCCCCTTAAAACAGACATGGAGCCAACTGAGCATCCATCGGCTGCTACTCTGAGATTACTTAGTAGTCTATGAAACTAAGTACACGATTCCACTTGGAAGAAAATTCTGAACTATTAGATTTGCACATACTCACATTGGGAATTTACCTAAAATAACGTACTGAGTCAAATCCACAAACCAAGTTAGCTTTATCCCTTCACATAATGTACCACAGGTTACAAAAATAATCTGGCTTTGGGCTCACTGGTCTATGTTTAAAATTCATTTGGCTCTGACAAACTCAGCTTGACTTCTTTGTGGTACCTCTGGTCTTACCCTGATTGATAGTCTCCCAATATATCCTGCTTCCAGAAAGATCATATGGAGTTCTCTCAGAGCATTGTTTCCCTAGCCCAGGGGCAGAGAAACAGTTTTAACTTTTGGTTTAAGCTTTTTTTCTCTGTAAGTTTACATAAAATATTGCAGTTTCAAAATACAAAACAGTACAACAAACGGTGTGCGTGCGTGCGTGCACACACACGAGCTTATTTAAGTACACATTTAAGTTCCATGCTTCGGCACATTCCCTCGAGTAAGCAGAAGAGCAGGAGGAGAGCGGAACCCAAGCAGACAAGAGTGCAGGGAAGAAGAGGGGAACACAGCCCACCAAATCCAGGTCAGCAGTTCATGGCCCTATTGGTGCCTGGTTTCTCAACAGCTTAAAATAGTTCTATCTCCACTGAGAAAATCTACCTTTAAATGCAAAGTTCATTTATTTTTATGGTTATTTTCTCCCAATGGCTACAGATTAAAACCAGATGAGACAGCATAGCTGAGTTCCAGAAATCTTTGGTCATCCAAAACTTCAATCCTTTACTTAGATTTTTTGTCCTTTTGGTTATATCCCTTAACAGAAAAATCTAACTAGGGGCGCCTGGGTGGCTCAGTGGGTTAAGCCGCTGCCTTCGGCTCAGGTCATGATCCCGGGTCCTGGGTTCAAGCCCCACATCGGGCTTTCTGCTCAGCAGGGAGCCTGCTTCCTCCTCTCTCTCTGCCTGCCTCTCTGCCTACTTGTGATTTCTCTCTGTCAAATAAATAAATAAAATCTTAAAAAAAAAAAAAGAAAAATCTAACTAGACCTGTGTCATTCTTGAACTTTTCCAAGCAAGACTTACCTCCTACTTGAATAGTGTTTATTGATTCCTTTATGCATTTGTATGAAACTGCATTCTTACTAGGATAACATGGTGAGATACAAAGGGGAATCCTCAAGCACGAAAGTAAGAGTGGGGGTAGACAACCCCACCTCAGTTGAAGTGTATCATTCCAAGGGCCTCATCGTCCAGCAGCATGTCAAAACAATCCTTCAGAGACGGAGTAGCCAGACGAGCCCAGGGATCACTAGCTTAACCCCACAGCATTCGTTCAGATACTAAGTGAGACCCACCTTTAGACTCAGTCCAGACCCCCTTTGACGAAGCGTCTTAATGAACGTGTCCATATGCTACAACCATTAAGTGTGCATCTCCGTCTCATCCCTGTAGGAAACTTTTCTGTGCAGTTTTGGCTACATCTGTGAGAAGCCTGTGGTCTAGTGACAGCTTTTACATGAATCACTATAAATTTCTCTGGAGTTGGTTCTGTAAGCTTCCAAGAAGGGGATCATGCCTTTAAATGAATGGCCTAAAAGAATACTTAAGTAAAAAGGTGCTCAAAGGCACTGAGATTCTGACAACAGAAAATCTAACTGCATGAGGACTCAAAAGACCAGAAAGGCAGCCATTCTTCACTCTCAGACAAAGTCAGTGTGGATTTGGCCCCTTGTTCAATCGAGACTTATGAACACCTGGACTCCAGCCAGCATCAGAGCCTAGCTAAGGACCCCTGAGAAAGTAAAAACTCCACATTGAGAATTTTGACTGGGAAGTACTGGCTGCTCATGTTTGCTGGGCTGCGTGTTCGCCGCACTCCCAAGATAGTTCTCATTATTTACTGGGGGTCACAGGCTGGTGCAGGTGTATAAAGGTGACCACATATGTACCACCTATGAAATACTCATTTGGGTCCATAAATCCTTAAAAACTCTGTGACGTAAGCATCAGAACTACTGACAGACTCAGGTTTAACAACTTGTTCGGGGTCATCTGGTAGACAAAGAGCTCAGTGGGGGTCAGCTCTAACTGACCCCAAAGCCCATATCCTTTGCTGTGTATGCCATCTGTCCTCAGCGGCGTTTAATGAAAACCTTGCTCAGCAGCACATCTGAGGCTAGCGTGCACAGTAACTTGTTCCTGTCTCACAGACCTTGCCAACTCTTTGGAGTTTCTCTCCCCCTCCTCACCACTGCCTCCCCATCACCAGCTACTGCCCCCAAGCTTCTCTGTCCCCAGCAGTGAACTCAGAGCAGTGTTTCTTCATCAGGATCCCCTTAGGCCCTCATCTGAGTCAGCTCAGAAGCCTGCCTCACACCTCAGCTCATGCATTTGCTCTAAGCACATACAGCAACACCTAAAAGGGAGGTAGATGTACTGGAATTTAAATAAAAAAGAAAAAGAAACAGGAAGAAAGGGAGGAGAGAGGAAAGAGGGTAAATATATCCCTCCTTCCTCAGCAGAATGCCTTTTAACACAACTCCTACAGTCTCACCTGGCCCAAGAAAAGTCCTCTTATGGTGGAATCGGGTCTACTGCAGCTCTTGACCAACGGGTCTGGGGGCAGGACACCTCTCCTGAGTGCTCAGATCACACACATCCCATTCCAGGCTGTTCTGCCACAGACTGCCCACATCTGCTGCCATGTGCACCGATCCGTCCCTGCTTGTCAACCTCTGGGGCCTCCCTCCATGGTGGCTTCCAGGTGCTCCCACCCATCTCCTGATGATCCACTAGGGGGCAGCACTGGCAGTATGAAACGCCTGCTGCTGTCCACCTTCTCCGACCCCATGGCCAACATTTGCATTTCTGGATGCATCATCTTCCTGGTCCTGCAGCGCCTCTCCTTCCAGAGATACACTCACTGGTTGCTGGAACATACTATCTTCTCTTACCTCCCAGCCTATGCACATGACTTTTTCTTCTAAGATATTCTCCTAGTCCTTGTCCCAGTCCCTTGTTTAGCTAGAAAATCCTGACTTATTAATGAAAGAGAAACTCCAATGATCATCCTGGGAGAGATCTTTTATTCTTCTTCTCTTTCTCCCCAGACTTAAGGGTGGTCTGTGTCTCAAGACCACACTGCTGGCCGGTGTTTGACTCCCTCTGACCTAGGAGCCACACGTCCTAAAGGAAGGCTCCTGCTTTTAGCCCTACACACCAAGGGCTTAAAAGCTTTTTTAAAGCAACACAGACACTCGGTAAAACAAAAAACAAAAACTCAAAAAAAAAAATTGTAGCCAGGATGGATCCTTACAGATCACCTTGTTTCACAAGGACCATGAGAAGACAGACCAGTGACCGTTCCCACACCACAGGAGGGGAAAACTCCACTTGGGAAGGGTTATAGCAAAAAGACAACAGTCCTGTCCTCTAAAGTTATTCTAGAGAGAGATGAAGTCAACACGATTAGCCTCAGCCTTAAAAAAGAATGCATCAGAAAAGGCATGTTAAGTGCAGAGTAGGAAAACCAGGTTCTTGGTTATCTCGGGGCTTGAATATAAGGCAGCCCCACATACAGAGTCATCTCCCAATTTTCTGGTGAGAAGATCTAAAGATTTTTGAACATGAATGTATACATTTTATAAATGTTGATTAAACAGCTGCATCATTAAACAGTA